GTAAAGAATTTGAGAGTCACATGACTAGACGTGCATTTGGGGAAAATATTGACTTCTGTGTAGAAAGAATTGTTGTTTTCCAGTTGCTCAGTCATGTCCAACTCTTTGCGACCCCATGGACTGCAGCACTCCAGGCTTACCTGTCCTTCACCATCCCTTAGAGCTTTCTCAAACTCATGTCCATTGAACCAGTGATGCCATCCAACATTTCATCCTCTGTCATCCCCTTCTCCTCCTGCCTTCAATCTTTCCCAGCATCAGGGTCTTTTTCAATGAATCAGCTCTTCACAACAGGTGGCCAGAGTATTAGAGCTTCAGTTTCAGTCCTTCTAATGAATATTCAGGACTGATTTCCTTTAGGACTATCTGGTTTGATTGCCTTGCTGTCCAAGGGACTCTCAAGAGTCTTTTCCAACACCACAGTTCAAAAGCATCAATTCTTCAGAATGGATGAATAGAAAACCAACTCTTGGAACTTCCTTGCTGGTCCAGCGGCTAAGATTCCCTGTTCCCCAGTGCAGGGGGCCTGGATTCGATTCCTGGTGAGGGAACTAGATCCCACATGCCTCAACTAAGAGTTCACATGCCACAACTTAAAGAAAAAGAAAAAACAAAACAAAACAGACCCCACAGGCCAAAACTAAAGATCTCACATACTGCAACAAAGGACAAAGGTCCTGTGTGCCACAACTAAGACTCGGTGCAGCCCAAATAAATAAATGTTAAAACAAACAAGAGAGCCCAGCTCTTGCTCCTCATACTCCATGCACCAGGCCCACTGGTTTTAACTGCTCTTGCAGGACATCTGCTCTCTTAGGCTTCCCTGAGGGCCCAGAGCCCAGCAGGCAGCCGTGGAGGCTGAGTCCACCATCAGCAATGCTCTCACAAGGAAAAAGTGAATGTTTTCATCCAGTGGTTGCTTCCTTCAGGCTCTGAGTGGCCCCTGGGACTGCATCCCAGCCACGTGGCCTCCAGTGGTGCTGAGTCTCCAGGCCCAGCGTTTACAGCTCTGAACAAGTCATCTGCCACCCTCTCCCACTACTACAGTGAAAACATATGTTTTCTGCTCTCTCCACATCCCTACCATAGACCCACAGACTGTAGCTTAACAGAGAGGAAAAGAAGCAACAGAAGAGGTCTGGAATGTAATCCCAACCATGTTAAAGGTCTTGGCTTTATGTGATAAATCACGCCTTCCGCATCTGTCAGTGGAAGAATTGAAAGTGGCTCATCTCTTCTTCTGCATGTGGCCAAATGGTTTTCTCCCAGCACTAAATGAGCCCATTTGAGACACAGGTTGACAGGGGTCAAATCCTTTACCACACATTTTAACAATCCAGGTGCTCATAGAATATAAAGTTCTGTAACTGCCAACAAAGAAAGCTTTGAAGAGCCTTTTGGAAGGAATTTTGTCTACAAAATTCTAACTGTTGTGTTGACTTTATGCCCTTCTTTGTGTTTCTACCACTTTCCTATCATAATTATGTGCCTTCTCTACACTTTTACCCCATCTTATCCTCTATGCAAAGCACCAGATAGGAGAGAGTGGTCTGTAGTAGTTATTCCCCTTGGGTACCTGAAGACAAAGCAAGCGATGATGATTTTAGGTCTTTTTCACAAGACCACACAGCCTAGAAAAAGAAAGGACAAATGTTTAAAAGGAATAAAACAAGCAATAGGTTAGGCAGTTTTACTTCTTCTCTGTAAAAGTAAGTTAAGACATTTTTGCTTATTAGCAAGGTTAGTTTAAGACAACTTTCTAGCTATTATGACTATAAAAGTGATTCAGTATTAGCATTATATCAAAATGACAGATGCAAATGCCAGTAGGGAGAACATTCTGAACAGTTTAAAGGACTCTAAAAATGCAAAGCATTATGTCGAATTTTCTCATTAGCCCCAAATAGCTATAATATCCCACCTGTAGTCAACATTCTATCATCCATGTTCAAAACACACATGGTTTTATAAAAACAAAAACAAACCTTCACTCAATTTCCTGAGGAGGGAAAGCAGGGAAAGGGAGATGGGAGGAAAGGGGAGAGAGAGAGAGAAAAAGAAAGAGAAAAGAAAGGGAGAGTCAAGTAACTAATCAGATTAAGGTGATATGATAAAGCTCATACATTTTATTCATAAGGATGTTCCTGGGCTCACATTTACTTATATTATAGGCATGACTTTAATGAGCATGATCATCTAGTCTCCCAGTTCAAGGTATCCCGGAGGCAGCAGGTCACCAAGGAGACACACACTGGCAGGTCAAAAAGTGACAGCCAGCAGCCCAAGAGTTGATGAAGTAGACAGAAAAACTCTGAAAAGTTGAGACCGGAACTCTAACACATAGCCCTGCACTCAACAGGCTCTATTACAGTCCTCTAGAATAATTTATGATTGAGTCATCATGACAAGATCAAATTAGAATGTTCTGTTTAATAAAACAGAGAAATATATATACATTTTCAAAGATGCTCACCAAAAATAGTTTAAATGAACCTATTTTTGTACATATGAACTTTGTAACCAGAACAACTCATTTCCTTAATGTTCAAGATGGATAGTTAACATTTTATTGTACATTGGTTATGTCCTAATTTTAATCTCAGGCTAACTGTCCCTCCTGCCCCTCACTGACCAGGGAGTCACACTCAGGAAACACAATGTCATTATGCTAATACTGCCTTAAGCTTAACAAAATTAGGTAGATAAATTTACTACCACCTCCCCAAAATAAAAGCACCCCTTGCCACTTTAGGCCTAAATATATGACTCCTGAGTAATCTGTGCCACTGCCTGCTGCCAATCATAGGCAATATATGTTAGTATATGTGCTGACCAAATTTAAATCCAATTTTAGCAGACCACATAAGAAGACATCCTTCTAGTCTAACAGTCTGAACTTTTTGTGACTCAATTTATCTTTGAATCCCTTGAGTCAGAATCTCAAGAAATCACCCAGTAGAGCTGAACTCTTGAATCTAGAAAAGAAAGACAATAGATAGACTGGGACCTAGAATATGGAGCAAGAACCTATGTAGGGGACATTTTGCATGATTCATTTCACCAATGTTAACAACGAAAAAATCAGGGTAACCAAAGCCAGATCAAACTTGAGATAAGAATTCTGCTGTACTAATGGTCAAGGTTTCTAGACAGCCTCAACACTTGAAGTAAAAGTGAAAAAGAATAAAAGAAGGAGACATGTTCAAACTCCAGGGACCACCATCCATCTGGGGATAGCATGTTAAATTTTTAACATTTTTAGGAGGAAAGAACCCCGTGGAGAAAAGCTTTGCAAAGCCATTTCATAAAAAGCCACAGTCAGTGTTACAGGTTGGAGAAAGGGAGTGTATCAGTCAGGATAATGCTACTAGTGATGAACAAACCCCTAAATCCAAAGCTTATACAACAAAGGGCTCTTTCTTTCTCATGCCACAGGTCTACTGTGGGGTCTGCTAGGGTTCTTCATCACTCCAGGATGTAGGCTCACAGAATGTTATTATCTGGTCGTTGGAGTTCTTAGTGACAAAAGTAAGTAGCAAAGCATATGTTCACCTCTAGAACCTCTGCCTGGATGGCTTTTAAGGGAGAAAGAAGTATAACCCCCAAAGGGAGGGACTTCAAATATTGGTGCCCTGAAATGCAGTCACCACAGGCAGTATGGTAAAAATGCCGGAGCTGGGGGCTTTTCGAATGTCAGCAGACATAAGACTTCTGTGGAGACCTTATTAACTGGGCCCACCCAGTTGCCCTAATTCACTAATCCTGGATGGAGCCCAAAAATGTGCATTTCTTTACACACAGCCATATCTCGTTTTGTGCTTCACTTGATTGCACTTGCGGATGTTGCTTTTTTCTTTTTTTTAAAACAAACTGAAGGTGTGTGGCAACCCTGCCTCTAGCAAGTCTATCTCAATCATTTTTTCACACAGCATTTGCTCACTTCATGTCTCTTTGATATTTTGGTAATTCTCAGTTCAGTTCAGTTTCCCAGTCGTGTCCTATTCTTTGCAACCCCATGGACTGCAGCAGGCCAGGCCTCTCTGTCCATCACCAACTCCTGGAGTCTACTCAAACTCATGTCCATCAAGTCACTGATGCCATCCAACCATCACATCCTCTATCNTTCACTTTCTGCCATAAGGGTAGTGTCACTTGCATATCTGACGTTATTGATATTTCTCCCAGCAATCTTGATTCCAGCTTGTGCTTCATCCAGCCCAGCGTTTCTCATGAAGTACTCTGCATTTAAGTTAAATAAGCAGGGTGATAATATACAGCCTTATGTACTCCTTTCCCTATTTGGAGCCAGTCTGTTGTTCCATGTCCAGTTCTCACAATATTTCAAATTTTGTCATTATTAGTATATTTGTTCTGGTGATCTGTGACCAATGATCCTTGATGTTACTACAAAAAGACTATGATTCCTTGAAGACTCAGATGATAGTATCCTTTAATAAAAAAGTATTGTGCATTTCTAACAAGTTCTTAGGTGATGCTGATGTTGCTGGTGCATTGACCATACTTTGAGTAGAAATGATATCTATATTGCTGGGAAGCACCCATCCAAATAGATATTATGTGTCCCAGCCTCACCCTTGTATCTAGATGGGGCTGAATAACTGATTCTCACCAAAGAAATATTAGCAAAAGTGATGTGTGTCATCCCTTGAAATAAAGCAGCTAAAAAGCAAGTGCTCTTTCCTCCCACTTCCTCCTCCCATACGCTTTCTACATCTTGACTCCTGAGGCAACATAATAGCTCATGCTTGAAGTCAAAGCGTTCATCAACTTGAGCTACCTTCCCCACTGACAAGAAGCACCTACATCAACATCACCTAAGAATTTGTTAGAAATGCACATTATTTTTTTTTTTAGTTTAAAAATAGGTTTTTTGTTAAAGATGACTACAGGAAAAAATGTTTCTATCATGTTAAACCATGAAATATAGAGGTTTGTTTTTTACAGCAGGTAGTATTACCTTACCTAACATTGGGAAGACTGGGAAGAAGGTCAAGAGAATCTTGACATTCCATCCAATATTTATCATTATCATTTTCCTCTCCTTAAGTTATATGAGAAATCCTTCTGCCTCCTTAACTTCTGCAAATGTCACCTGCTTTGATTCTCCTTTGTTATATCTGTTTTCTTCTCTAACTCACTGCGATAATAGAAAAAGTAAAATGGATTAGGATCACAGGGTGTAAAAACTCAGAATCATTTTAATTTTTGCTTAAGGTACTAGCTATAATTCACTTATTTATACTTTACTCATTCAACAAAACCTTACTCAATGTTTACTTCAGTTCAGTTCAATTGGTCAGACGTGTCTGACTCTGTGACCCCATGGACTGCAGCATGCCAGGCTTCCCTGTCCATCACCAACTCCTGGAGCTTGCTCAAACTCATGTCCATTGAGTCAGTGATGTCATCCAACCATCACATCCTCTGACATCCCCTTCTCCTCCTGCCTTCAATCTTTCCTAGCATCAGGGTTTTTTCCAATAAGCAGTTCTTCCCATCAGGTGGCCAAAGTATTGGAGTTTCAGCTTCAGCATCTGTCCTTCCAATGAATATTCTGGACTGATCTCCTTTAGGATTGACTGGTTTGATCTCCTTGCAGTCCAAGGGACTCTCAAGAGTCTTCTCCAACACCACAGTTCTAAAGCATCAGTTCTTTGGTACTCAGCTTTCTTTATGGTCCAACTCTCACATCCATACATGACTACTGAAAAAACAGAACTTTGATTAGATGGACCTTTGTCGGCAAAGTAATGTCTCTGCTTTTTACTATGCTAATTAGTTTTGTCATAGCTTTTCTTCCAAGAAGAAAGTGTCTTCTAATTTCATGGCTGCAGTCATCATCTGTAGTGATTTTGGAGCCCCCCCAGAATAAAGTCTGTCACTGTTTCCATTGTATCCCCATCTGTGGAACCGGATGCCATGATCTTAGTTTTTGGAATGGTGAGTTTTAAGCCAGCTTTTTCACTCTCTTTCACTTTCATCAAGAGACTCTTTAGTTCCTTACATATGGTTAAAATAGCTTATCTACATATGCTTCCTTATATGTGGTTAAAATACCTCTGCCTCCAAAATTGGCCTGGGCAACACCTTTGGCCCCTCCCATAACCAGAGCAGATAACCAAAATTCGGTGCTTTTTCTCACTGAGTCCAGAGAAATCCTCAGAATTCTTCACAGCAGGGTGTCCAAATAACCACGACCAATAAATCCATAAAGGTGATTTTAACATGAAGGAAAAAAAGCAATATGTATCCAAGTCATTTCTATTTGTGCCATTTGTATCAATAAGTGGATTTTTCCAAAGATGTTGCAAAAGGTTTGGTCTCCCACTGTCACTCATTTCAATCTACTTCTAATATGTTTTTCTGAGTAATGGAAGCTGTAAAGACCAAACTACATTTGCAGCTACTTTTCCACTTATCAGATATACCTGCACAAAACTTGACACCAGCAAGGTGAGACAGCAGCCTTCTATGAAGAGACTGGGCCTTCTGGCAAACACAGTTGCAGAAGTGTTTGGTTTTCCTGAGGCCGCTGTGAAGAAGGTTCTATAGGCCAGAATCTTGCATCTGAGGCATAGCACAGCCAGTATCTATGGAAATGCAGTTTCTCTTAACAAGTCCCGGGTATGGTTGGGCAATTCCTCGGGCCATGTTGTTCCTGAACGAGCAGGACATACAGTTGGTTCCACCCGTAGATCCAGGCAAGAGGGGCTCCTGCTCTGGGACCAACACTTTAGAGGCTCTTTCACTTGTTCTCCTCTGGCCACCTTCCTTCACCAAAAAATAAAATAAAACAAAAAGGCCAAAAAACACACATACAAAAACCTCTGAGAGAGAAGTATGTGGACCAGTAGGACTTACTTAACTGGAGCTCTAACCCCAGACTGTGTCCATGGACCCAGATTCGTTACCCAGATAGTCCTGAGCTTACTTCTGGGGACTCTAGCCTGGGGCTGTTCTCCTAGGAGTGGGACACACTACCTGTGAGGACACCTTTAGGTCTGAAGGTGGCCACAGGGTGGCTTGTTGCCAGGGGTATACATAGATCTTGGACACGTAGGCGATAGCATCCACACACATGCAGATGAGAATGAAGCCAGAAATGNCGATAGCATCCACACACATGCAGATGAGAATGAAGCCAGAAATGAGAAGAGGACTGGGGGCCGGAGCCATGCTTTTCCCAGGTTGCTATGCTTCGGTGAGCAAACCAAAGGAGTCTGAGAGTTCTAGTCAATCTTAACTTTCCTATGTCATTTTGAAGGTAAATCTCTCAAGATGGAAACACAGCACGTATTTGATTTAACAGTTTGAAGCTTCTGTTTAACTTTTAAGTATTCAGACAGGTTATGTGAGTAGTTACTTGTGCTCTTGCCCCCAGATCCTACAAATTCTAAGGACTACTTAGTTCTTTAACCTCTGATGCATTCTGTAAGCTATTTGATGCTCTCAATCCCTTTCTGCCTAAACCACTCAGAGTTTATTTTGTTCTCTAAAACCAGGAATCCTGGTACTTACACTTCCCTAGATGTTTGGAAATGGGTTATAGTTTCCTGTTCTTGTGGATAAGTCTACATGAAGTGCAAGAATATGGTTTTCTTTCAGTGTCACCCACAGCTTGTTTGTTAATGGCTCTTCCTGACCCCAAGGCTCTGCAGTATAGCCGACGGAGTGTTCAAGGTTGAATGAGAGCCTGGGCTGCAGACTCAACTCTAACACTTAACAGGCCTGTGCTTTGAGCAAGCCATTTTTAACCTCTTTAAACACTTTCTCAACCAACAATCAAATATGATAGTATGTATACATATACTTCATTGAATAGTTCTATGCAGATGTAACATTGTCATTTCTAATGTTGGAACCAAAGAAAAGAGTTAATAACAGCTGACTCCAGAGGTACATTCCCTGTGGCGTATGCTCAGATGTCCTTTTTCTTTTGTTTACTTCAAAAACCTCTGCTCCAATCCCTTCCCTTTGGAGAACCAATTCCACTGTCCTAACTTATGACTCCATTAGGAAATATTTCTAGAAAGTCATTCAAATGCTTCCATTTTCCAATTCCATTTCGGTACTTCAAGTTCTGACTTCTTATGTTGCAGGAAACCATTTTCTCACTTGCTTGCTATTTAAACTCTTCAACACTTGTCAAGCATTATTATGTCATACTCACCCTACTTGGGGATTTAATGACACACTCCATCCACTTCAGGACATATTCATTTTCTGGAGTATCCAATGACATGATCTGCAATAGCAGAGATAAGGATTCAAGCATTTAAGTTCCTCTTGGGTTTTCCTGATTTTCTGAATCTTAAGGAATCTTTTAGAGTTCATCCTACAGCAATGCAAGTTTAAAGAGCTTTCACAACCTGATGTATTTCCTTTTCATTATGTTTTTCAGATTAAGAAACTACTATAATGGTAGCTGGAGCTAGCAGGAAAATAAGCTTTTTGTGGCTCATAAACTTGGAAAAGGGAATATATCAAAAGTCATTTTTTGCCAAATTTCAATTAAATACCTAAAAATCCATGATGATATGAGCAGGAACTGCATTAGGTAATTTCTATTTTTGAAAGATTTTTCTAGTTTCTAATGGTCAATCCCGTAAAGCTCTCTCTACCAAAAAGTAATTGATTGGAATTGTGGAATCACTGAGACATGGCGTTGAATAGTTGAAGTTACATACAACCTCTGAGAAAGTGCTTTACATTCTGTAAACAATCATTATACCTATAGGTTTTTGGGAGCTTAGGCATGTTGGCTCAATTCCTTGCCTTTATTCAGCTCAGCTCTCTATTAGAGAGGAAGACTGAGCCATGCAGCTTCCCATTTCCCAGGACCCTATATCACCTGTCTTCTGGCAGGATTTTGTTTGACAAAGGATGATAGTGGAAGGAGTCTGAACAGTCTCCTCCTGTCTCTGTACCGGAGGCAGTTTCTTAGCAGTTGCCTCTCTGCGGCAAAATCTCCTTGGTCCCATTGCTTGACAGGTTCCTTTAGTTCCATCTGCCATTTGATGACCCTCTAGCCAATAATACTGCTGAATGTCTCATCTTTCCAGCCTACAGATGATAGTGGTTTTCTGCTGTTAATCTCTGGATTACCTTATCATCCCATCTATGGTTCTTAGACATTTCATAATCTGTGCAATAATTTCCCTGAATTAACTTAATTCTGTGGGAAAATCTTAAAATGATTTTTATTTTCCTGGTTAGATTCTGGTTGATAATATAATTCACTTAATTTTGAAACAATGCACATAGCTGTTAATGCACCAATAGAAATGTTAACTAATGTGCAACCCTAAGTCACCTTACAGACTTCAGGACATTACAGGAAGTGAAACATGAATTGTGAAAAAAATGCCCCAGCAAGAAAAGACCAATGGGATTAGAAGAATCAATGGAACCTAGAAACTTGATGGTCATTTTGGTCATTTTTTTTTCCCTCCAGGTGAAATAATATCTAGGTGAGTTATGAATGCAATAGCAGTTACTGACCTGTTTAAAATTCTGACGTTAGGACTTCCCTGGTGGTCCAGGGGTTAAGGATCTGCCTGGTAATGCAGACGACACGGGTTCAGTCCCTGGTCCGGGAGCTAAGATCCCACACGCCAGAGCAGGCGAGCCTGACCTGCAGCTGCTGCTGCAGCTGAGCCCGTACGCCACGACGGAGTCCATCCGACACGATGCAGGAGAGATCCCACGAGCTGCAACTAGTTCCTGGTGCAGCCAGATAAGCACTTATAAATAAGTAAATAAAACTTTGACCTTGGGCTGGTAGGTTTATAATCTAGTATAGATTGCATTAATATGATAAAAAAAAAAAAAAAGATGTTCGTTGCAAACAGTTCAGGGTAACACCTGAAAAAATTATGTCTGATTTGTTAACAAAACAAATGTCTGATATGATATAAACCAACATCAAGGAAGTATTTACTTTCATTGTTATCTCATTCTTTCATTTAATCATTGAATATCTACCATCACCTGGACCCTATAAATATACCCCTGAATAAGGAAGGAACAATATCCCTTAGTTGTGTGAAACTTACGGCCTGAGGAGTAAAGGTAGTGATTGAACCAATATCAAACAAAAGTTGAAAACCTCCATAGAAAAAACAGCCAATCCACATTCAGATAGCCAATCCACATTTAGATTTTGTTTTTTTCTAAGTAATCTGTCCATCTTAAATCCTAAAAGGAAGAAGAAGATGATTTTCTTACTTTCTAAAATACAGTAGTATATAAGGTACTGAATGTGATGTTTGGCAAGTTTTGATTGAATTCAGGCTCTTTACTTCCTGATTGCCAAATTATCATGTTCTTCAAGAATTTCTCATAAAGACTTCCTGAAGTAATTTTTAAAAATAGGGAATTGTGTTGAGAACAGAGATATTTAAGTTTGGAGAAAGGAATTAAGTGAATAACTCTGCTTCAGTTTCATTTTATTTTTGATTTTCAGCAATTGACCATGTTATGCTTGTGGATTCATTGTTTTTGTTGTTGTTATTGTTTTTTACCAACTTTGGGAAGGTCACTGATTATTTAGATATATTTTTCTCAGTCTCTCCACTTTTGTGACTCCTTTATACTTTCAGTAGACCAGTTTATATGGTCCCATGAGTCACTAAGAAAATATCATTAAAAAAATCTTTTCTGTCTCTGTTCTTCAGATTGGATAATTTCTATTTTTCTATCTTCAAGTTCACTGACTTTTTCCCCCATTATCTAACCTATTAATACAATCCAATCAATTTTTAGATTTTAGATAGTATAATTCTTAGTTCTAGAGTTCTACTTGGTTTTCATTGTTTCCATTTTTCTGATGAGATTTACCATTGTATATTTCCTATATACACCTTTTATTTAAATTCTAAAATATAACAGCTAATTTAAAAGCAGTAGAGGGATCGGGTGGAGAGGGAGGTGGGAGGGGGGACCGGGATGGGGAATACATGTAAATCCATGGCTAATTCATTTCAATGTATGACAAAAACTACTGTAATGATGTAAAGTAATTAGCCTCCAACTAATAAAAATAAATGGAAAAAAAAAAAAAGCAGTATCTGCTGATTCCAACATCTGAGTGCCCTGGGATCTGTTTCTTTTGGTTGCTTCAATTTCATGATTGCTAGTCACATTTTTATATTTCTTCCTATATCTAATATTTTTATTCCATGCAAGACATTTAAGATAATACATTATAGTGAGTTTGATTATATTATTTTCCTAAAAATGCTAGTAAATTTTGTCCTGGCAGTAAGTAAATCTTCTCCTTTATGAAAATAAATGTTTTTATGATCTCACAAACTTCCTTTTATTCCTTTAAATACATCTGATCAACTCTTGCTCCCACAAAAACTATCACGATATAGTTAAGGGAAAAAAAAAGACTGTACAAGTGCTCAACAATTCAGAAGTCATGGGTTTGAAGTCCACTTCATCTTTTTATTTCAAGGGCACTTCTATGTGGAGACTCACTGTAAATAATTGCATATATCTTATTTCGTATTACTTACAAAGATCATATTCTGTAAGAAACTAATATAGATCTTTTTTAAGTACAGTCTTCTAAAATTAACTTGTAAAAACATCTTAGCTTTCAAAGCTTGGTTTGTAAAAATATGATATTAACAATTCCAGGGAAGGGATCCTATCAACTTCATGGAAGAATGAATTAGCAAAAATAAGAATAGTAAATCTGGAGGTAAAGGAAACAAAACTACTTGGTAATCACCGTTTGGATAAAATATACATGTCCTTTACCAGTTTGAGCCAAAGATGAAAAACCAATTATTTAATAGTATACTTATCATTGTTTTAAAAAGAACATGTTTGTTGTAAACTTTTTAGTCTTCTCAGAGATAAATACCTGAATATATTAGGGTATTTCCTTCAAGTTTTGGTATGTAGGTATACATATATATGTGCCTGTAGGTGTGCATGTGCATGTATGTGTTGGGTAAAAATCACATATATATATACATATAAAAAAATGAGATTGATGCTCTCAATATAACGTTTTATCTTATATATGTCACTGAAAACATTCCCAGGGATCAAACCCAGGTCTCCCACATTGTGGGTGGATTCTTTACCATCTTAGCCACCAGGGAAGCCCAAGAATACTGGAATGGGTGACCTATTCCTTCTCCAGGGGATACTCTCAACCAAGGAATCAAACCAGGGTCTCCTGCATTGCAGGCAGATTCTTTACCTGCTGAACTGCCAGGGAAGCCCATAAATTTTTTTTTAGTCTTCTCAGAGATAAAGACCTGAATATATCAATGCATTTCCTTCAAGTTTTGGTATGTAGGTATACATATATATGTGTTTGGGTATGCATGTATATGTTGGGTAAAAATCACATGTATTGGGTAGAGAGGGAGGTGGAAGGGGGGATCAGGATGGGGAATACATGTAAATCTATGGCTGATTCATGTCAGTGTATGGCAAAAACCACTACAATATTGTAAAGTAATTAGCCTCCAACTAATAAAAATAAATGGAAAAAAAATAAAACAATAACATATACAATAGCTCCAAAAGTATTAAAAAAAATAGGATTGATGCTCTCAACATAATTTTTTATCTTATATATGTCACTAAAAACATTACATGAACTTTTCCATATCATTAAATGATTTTTGAAAAACGTGATCTTTAGACGACCAACAGGCACTGATTACTGATTATTAAAGGGATGCAAATCAAAACCACAGTGAGTTATAACTTCACACTGGTCAGAATGGCCATCATTAAAAATCTACAGATAATAAATGCTGGAGAAGGTGTGGAAAAAAGGAAACCCTTATACACTGTTGGTGGGAATGTAAATTGGTACAACCACTATGGAAAACAGTATGGAGGTTTCTTGAAAAACTAAAAATAGAACAAACATATGACCCAGCAATCCCATTCCTGGGTATGTATTCAGAAAAACCAAAACCTATAATTCAAAAAGATACATGAACCCCAGTATTCAGAGCAGCACTATTTAAAATAGCCAATACATGGAAACCCAAGTTCCCATCAACAGATGATTGGCTTAAGAAGATGTGAGATGGAATATTACTAAGACATAAAAGAATGAAATATTGCTCATTTGCAGCAACATGGACGGACCTAGAGATTATTAAGCTTAGTGAAGTAAGACAAAGACAAATACTCTATGATATCACTTATATGTGGAATCTAAAAAATAATACAAGTAAATCTATACATAAAACAGAAACACAGTCATAGAAATAGAAAAATATGGTTACCCAAGGGGAAAAGGAGTGGGAGAGGAACAAATTAGGAGTATAGGATTAACAGATACAACAATTTACATAAAATAAATGAGCAGCAAGCACACAGAGGATTATATTCTGAATCTTATAATAACCTATAATGAAATATAAACAGGAAAAATAACTGAAATACTATTCTGTACACCTGAAACTAACAAAATATTGGTAATCAACTATGCCTCAATAAAAAATTATAATTTTTGTAGCTAACATATTATCACATGGATAATTTACTCATCCATCCCCCTATTATAAGAGATTATGTTTTTTCCAATGTTTTATTATTGAATAAATTAAATAATCATTCCCATATATAATTTTTTCCTTACAATCTATTTCTGAAACAGAAACGGCGAGGTGATGGTGAATGTGATGTAAGATGGCAGAACATCAAGCCAGTGTAGTAGAGAGACAAAAGTTTGAAACAAAAAATGGTTTTAGTTAGCATTGTTTATAAAACTGAATTGAAAGGAGGATATGCTAAACCGGCAGGCTTTTATAAAATAGTTGCCCCGCATTTGTAAAAATCATTGGGGAACGGGAGCTTACACTGAACCCTTGGAAAGCTACAGCAGAATTCTTTGTAGTGTGTGCTGCACAGCATCCATCGTGTGGCATTTTAACAGGTGTTCCATTAAGAAGTGTTCTACTGTGCAGGGATTTGAGGAAATGCAGACTTAAAGCCAAACAAGATTTTTGCTATTATGTTTTACTGCAGGACTTCCTAGAACATTATAATGTTCCTACATGCTTCTTAACACACCAAACACAGACTATAACATGAGACATTTCCCAAACCTATTTGATCACAAAATCTTTGGTTCACTATGTATCGAGAGAAAAGTGTTTGTGGAACACCAGATTGAGCAAAAGTATTCAAACAAAAGTGAGGAAAAGTGCATTATAGTCAAGGCCATGGAAAAACCATATCAGATCAAGTGTAATTAGGCTACAATGGTTTTATGGCAAGTGTTGCAGGACTTGAAATCTTTCTTTTAATTTAAATTCTTTATCTCTTTTAAAATGCTGAATAACCTATATATACCCTTCTTTTGTCGCTGCATAGCTCTATACAAAAGTTAATATTTGGTAGGCTGTGAACTTTATCTCACTATGAAATATTTTGTGGAGGCCATATAATATAGTGACAAAATCCCCGCTGAGGAATTGGGAGAGTGTTGGTTCTGCCGCTACCTAGCTTTGTGACCTTAGAAAATTAACTTTGCTTGGCACACGTGCAAAATGAATGGCTGTTCTCTGACGAACTTGAACTCGAGGGTCAGAAACCTT